AACACTTACCTCCCAAATACAAAATAAAAATCAACTAAAAATAATCGGATTTTAATTATATTCTTTAGTATAAAAATTGTATATATTACATTTTACAAGTGTTACAACCAATAATTACAAAGTTTTATAATTAATTTAAATCTTTAAGGTTATTTATATATATATATATATATATATATATATTCATAAATTGGAAAGCTATATTGTTGTTATTCTTTTCTATTTTTTTTTTAAACGAATTATCACTTGATCATTTCATCAAATAAGAGAGATAAACAACTTTTATTGAAAGATAGTTGCCCGCCATGCGGGTGGGTTGTCATAAGACACAGCATACTAATAAATATATAGATACATCAAGTTATTTTAAATTTACAATATAAATACATTTTCTAAATTTATAGTAATTAGAAAGGCGAAAATTGAATTACAATTAAAAAACAATTATTTTTATTTAATTTTACTATAGCTGTACTTGCGAGTTACGTAATCTTCCATTAAAAAAATAAATAAAAGATACGACACAAAAAAGTTTTTAGATATATATGAAGATAATCCATTATCAAATGATTAAAGATGTTAAAAAAGCATATAATAAATTCATTGGTAAAAACTACTTTAATACTTTAGACGATTCCGACTTGTTCAATTTTGATAGCATTAAAATGGACCAAACATTTTAAAACAATGAACCATGATATTGCTATAGAATAACGTAACGGAAAAACATTATGTACGCATCATTTATCACCATTTTAGAATGATCAGAGTCTAAAAGCATTATTTTGTTCAATCGTGCGATGGAAAAACTTGCATTTAATTTCATAGTTGAAATATTTTTACATTTTAATTAACAACACAGTAAAAATAATAATTTTAATGAATTGTATTATAAATTTAACAATTAGTTATACCTATAGCTTATAGACCTAGAGTTGTTACTTTACTTTATCTTACTTTAATCGAGTCGAAGTCAATGGAATTTAATACATGTGTAATTTTCGCCTAACTTAATTTTATATTAATAGATCACAACTAAAGCATCGAATAAAAAATAATCGGTCGAGTTTAATGATGTAACTTGATGTAACTTGTTTTAAAATAAATAGGTATCTTAATTTTTTTGAATAGGTTTAATTTAATTCATATATTTCTTTTCCTATTTGATTTGAATTAATACGTTGTGGTTTATACTGCATAAAGTTATATAATACTTTAAACTTTTGAATAAATTATCATAAAATATTGTGATACAATTGAAATGGATTTTATATAAAGACTGCCGGTTGGAAACATTAAATCTTATAAATCATTCAATGGAACAAAATTGACGGCACAATCACAACGGTTTTATATTGGAATAATTTAGTAATAGTTGAATAGTTTGTAAATTTTAAATGCCTACATATTTTTAAACTTAAGCAACCGTGAAAGTAGAAATGGATTTTCACAGTAAAACTGTTCTGACTTCACTTGAGTCGGCATATAATAGAAAAATCAACAGAATATTTACTTTGTGGAATAATAATAAATATGATATTATAATATCAGAAGTAATAATTAAATTTAAATATATTTAACATGACGTAGTTCTAGTTTAAAATAAATGCCGTGTGAAAACAAAACAATATTAAAGTGGAGTCAAGCTGTTTTTAAACTTGAGAACCGCAAGAAATCATCGAATTCGAAAATTTGAGTGTAGCTCATTTTACTCTAAAGTTTACGAATTTTAATGTGTTTTTAAAAAAACTGTGAAAATTTTCGATATATTTTAATTATTACATTGGAATAGTAAGAAAATTTAGCACTGATATTTCATCCTTGTACTACAATTCAATATTTTATATTCAAAATTAAAAAATATATTCAAATACATCTCCAATCATAATATAATAAATAATAAAAATAAAAATTATCACTGCAAACTTATAATTTGAATCGTCCATAACTCGAACTACGTGTATGTCTTCTTAATGACAGACAAATGATTTGATAAATAATTTAAAAATGAATAATACATCAACTCGTACAATAAGAAAATCAATTTAATATTTAATAGATCTCTTAGAACTAACAATGAAATAAAATCTTGTGGTTTATAATTATTTAATTTTTATAAAAAATCAATTTATCTGAATTTTATCAAATTAATGCAAGTTATAATTATGAATTTACTTTGATTTGGATTATTCTTAAAAATAGTGTTAGATTTCAATTGAAATTATACTGAAAAAATTCTGCAGTGTAATAACTAATACACATTAAATAGAACCATGTATTAAATTCAACTATTCAACTTGATATTATTATCATATTTAAAAAAAATATGGAACCATCAACTTATCTATTACCATGTTCAAAGTAAAATAAATGATTAAGTCAGCACGAATATGATATACCAAAATAAAGATTTATTGTTTTGCATTAACAATTACAAGTAAATAGTTTAAGAGGCTTTCATTTTAAAATATAAATAAAAAATATGGAGGTATAAAATATTCGTAGTTATAAATATAATGTTATACATGGGCATATAAATATAAATATACGTAGGTTTATAAATTGGAAAATACATAATATTCATGTCCCAATAGGTATTAATAATATTTATTGTTAACAGAATATGCTATACCTTAAATTTATTACGAACTCAATATGTTATATCGATCTGATAAAATTTATTGAAGTACAGAAAACAACTTTTTTCAACTACGTTATTTGACATTATGAATATTATTGTCAGTTTTACTATTTTATTTCATTCTAGTTTATGTGGATCTGCACTGTAATATAATTTTACTATCAAAGTAAAATGTAATACTTGGTTTGAGTTTTATGTCTTAGTTACATTTATAAATGTTAATATCACTATTATAAAAATTCCATTGAATTAACATTATTATGTACATAAATATCCAAATGGAAGATTAATTTTGGTTAAAATTATTTTATAACACTTTCATGTAATACATTTAAAAAATGTTGACAAAATTTTAAAGAAAATAATGTACACCTACTTATTCATGAAATAATAGTTTAAAATGTAATATTATTATAAAAAAAAAATAACACATTGTATTAAATGTGTAATTGGAATTTATTTCCGTAATAAAGAAATATTATATTATTACATTATATTATATAAATGTTAAAAAAAAACCTTATGAAGTTAACTAATGACGATAGTATCATTGCTGAAGAGACGAAAATGTGCACCCAAAATTATATTTTGTTATTAAGTATTGATATTCAAAGTATTTTATTTGTATTTATCACATCATGAAAATGAAACAATTATCTTATGGCTGAACAAATGTAATTTACATGTTTGTAAAATTGTTTAGTTAATATAAATTACTAATAATTTGTTTATTTTGATTATTAATGATTTGTAAATTATTATAATTTAGTGAAGTTAAAATTTATAATAATTAATTAATTGAACCTTATAACTAAACATTGATAAAGAATAAAATTTTGTTAGTTGAAATTATGAATTCGAAGTACTTTTAAGTACTTATAAGTACACTATCCACAATCTTCACTCGCAATTTTGTATATTATAATAAGAATTAACTAAATATAAGGACGTTGATAATTTCTTAATGTTATTTATCTATAGATATACAAAATGCATCCTTGTTTATAATCATAGAATATTTAAAAATAAATAGTTTTTTCAAATTCAATATCTATGAAATATTTTGATTTATTTGAGGATAAACATTTTAAAATTTTTATTTAAATATTCAACACAATTAGTCATATATTTAATAAAAAATTCGCATTTATAAGTACATAAAACTATTTTAAACACTCAAAAATAGTATCATTACATTAAAATATATATAATACGAACAATTTTTAATTATAAATACCTTCTGCATTATTGTGATCTATGAACCAAGCATTATTTTGATTGAGCAAGAATACTGACAAAGCTAGTGGGATTAGGACGTTCATGACGCGACGTTTGAACACGAATGACTTAATCTCCTCACCTAAGGGTCTGCGGAACACTAAACTGTACAAGTAAACTCAGCCCATACTTATATGTATATATATATCTCCCACTCCTGTTTTATTGTTCAATAATATTTCGTTTTCATTTCCACGTACAAAATAGTATAAAATAAATGTTTGATCGTGTATTCGATAAATAATTTGGAATAAATAAATTATGCAATTAATTTTCAATTAATATTCTGTAAAAAACATGATATTTATTTAATAAATAGTAAATATTTAATGTAAATAAAATATAATTTTAGATACAATAAAGTTATCTTTATTTAAAAAAAAAAAAAAATCTAAGTTTTCTTTTATTGATATTATGTATTATCTACTTCTTATAAATTTAAATGAATATGCATTTTAAAGTACATCGGTTTAAATATGTAAAACGTATGTTCACTGATCATTAAATTTTAAAACCATTAAAACGTATGAACTTTAAATTTAACATATTCGTTCTTATAGTATTCTAGATATTCAATTAGAAAGGATTTTTAATTTTTAAAGATTTTAAAGATTAAAACAGTACCAATTGTATCAATTTTTTTCACTTTTTGATCGAGAAAAATTAAGATTTATTATTTTAATTTAACAATAGATATTTGTTATATATTCTTGTTTATATTTATTGAATATTTGAAAATAATTGGTTGTTAAATATTACCATTTCTGAAAATACTCAATTTTTATAAACGAGTATTTTTAGTAAATTATTTTGAGCCCATAAAAATGAAATCATCTAAAGTTATTTTTATAATTGTACAACTATTCATAATAGGCAACAATGCTCATAATTTAAATGAATAATGTGTATTTTTATTAGTATCAATTTTAAAAAATTTTATAATTTTTTGGGACTATTTGATAAAAATGTGAAATTCCTTATTTATACTAAATCATTTTTTTAATAAATACAGTTTGAAAACTTTGATTTTGACTTATTTTAGTTGATAAATTTAATTTGTAGTTTGTATCCAACGCATTTTTCATAGTGGAGGAAGTTCTTTTCCAAAATCACTTAATACGGCTAATGTATTGCAATCCACTATTTGTTCAATTCTTGTTTTACAATAAAAACATACTTTTGAATAAAGTATGTGGTGGTCGGCGCATAATCTGGAATTAAATAAAAACCCAATTTATTAAAATTGCACATTTAAATAACTGAAAAATAACAATAATGCATTTAAAATATCAGAATATGATATAGTAACCAAAAATAAGGTAATATACTTTTAGAAATATATATTTTAATTTTAAACTATAAAATTATAAATATCATAAACCTGTGTAAGATTTTGTTTAGCAAGGTTATTACTTTATTCTATTATGTTATCGTCTCGTGCCACTAAGTCATAAGTATTTTGATTATAAAAATGTTGTATGTATTAAATATATAAAATATATTAATTAAAATGACAACGAATAAAAAAATAATATTAAATATTTTGATGAAGATTTTATAATACTCAGTTAACTATCATAATAAACGCTTACGCATAAGGTAATTTAAAGTACTTAAAAATAGCATGCCTTTGCATGTTTACTATTTCACTTTAATTAACAGGTATTTTAAATCAATATAAGAAATTATTATGTATAAACGAAACAAAACATAAAGTTTTATTGACCACACTATTCATTTATTGTACATATTCAATAAAAAAATATTTTTTTTACCAACACAACTGAGTTAGATACTCCAGGTATTAAGATGAAACTCAAAATAAAATGCATTAAATTTATTATGATTTATAATAGACAAAAAATATTAAATAAATTTAAAATTAAAAAAAATATATTCTCAAATAAGGATTTTATAAAAAGAAGTATCTATTGTATGAACCTTTTAAAATACTATATTATCACTGATTAATTTATCGCAAAATGCAGGGCAGCACTGTGGACAATTAGCGTCGTTATATTGTTTTATTATTCAGAAAACTTTTAATCCCAAAACACTTCCTCTTTCAAAATTAAGGATTAATGAATATAACTCCCCGTATTGTAATAAATTCTACCTAAACTTATTTATATGACACTACAATTTTTAAATATTTATAGTATAGATAATAAGTACCTATTTTGAATTTTTATAGATAAATGTATTAATTTTTAGTATTGATATTATAACATAGTATAAATAACAAGAGCTTACTTGCAGCATTGGTGTTCACATGGTTTAAGCATTACACTATTTTTTTTCGAATAACAAATCACACATAAATCGTCCTCGTTTATGCTGGAAGCCATAGATTTATGTCGCTTCATATACCAATCTAAATGTTGGTACAGAACAGCGATTTTGTTTAATTCTTCCTCAGTAAGATGTTTTTTATCTAAGTATTGTATAAATGAAATAAAACAGAACTTTTAATGGTATATACTATAAACCGAACAGAAATTTCCAAATCTAAATTATTTGAATTCACTGAACTACCATACATGAATATTTATACGAAACAGTAATCAAAATAATTGGACTTATTGAATGAAGTTATGTTTAAATAAAATGTACTAATGAAAATCATCTGACATTGTTTTACTTTACTAAGTTAATTAAAATTGAAGTAATACAATTTATTTTTATGTATACCTATGATAAAATGTTTTCAATGAAATAAATATCAGTGTTAAAATTATAAATTTAATATAAATAAATTGTATTAAAATTAAATTGATTTATGAAATTTAAAGTAAAGAAAATTAAAGTAGATATTAAAATAATAGAACAATGAATAAACACATGAAAAAAATATATACACTACATACGTATAAACCGAAAAATTAATCAAATAAAATTTTTTTAAATAATTCTAATGAATTTATTTATTTATATATATATATCTGTGTATCAAAATTAGCATAAAGTAATATTTACAAGAATTCAAGGCAAATTTTTCTTCATTTTCACTTTCGGGTAAAATAATAAAGTCCAATGATGATAGATTAAAGTTTGGATCCGAAATGAATACGTCTGTGATATCTGGGATACTGGAAATCTTATTAGAACCATTGGAAGTAAAATCTTCTGTAACGATTACATTAAGCAAGTATTAAAAATATAATAAGATTCCAACAAGATTGAATGAGAATTTTAATGTACGAATTAGAATGGAGAAATATCACATAAAATTGCAAAATAATAACTATTGGGTTTGGTATGTAATTCTAAATTTTCAATTATAAACAATTTATGAAGGTTTTCTATAACATTTATACATTTAGACTTTACACATTACTACAATTACATTTGAATATTAATTATTAATATTATTATTATAATAATAATTATTATTACATATTAATATTATATGATTATTATATATTAATATATTTATTTTAAATGACTTATATTGCACAAATACAAACAATTATTAAATTATTCTAAATTACCTTTTTCGTGAATTTCGTCGCCTAATATAGACAACAAAACACCCATGGTAGCCATGAGAATGGTAAACTTATGAATACATTCCACAAAAGGTAATGATGATTTCAGAATTTTTTGAAACGTAGAAGATGATGTATGTATTCGATTTAGTATTTGACAAATTAACTAAAATGTCAAAACCGAAAGGTAAAAATATTTTATTCAAAAAAAATGTCTATATTACCTGAAAAACTCTGTTGAGAGATCCTTCCTGGTCCATTATAAGGCTACGGTCAAAATTAACCATCATTTCAATAACTCGAAGTAAAGTTACAGTTAGAACAAAACGGTGACTGCACATTCTTAACTTATTGAATTCTTCGGGAGACAAAGGAACTCCATCATTTTTATTTATGTCTTTTATCTATAAATTATGAATACATTTAATAAAACAACCTTTTTTTGGATACAGTTAAGAAATTATATATATTGGTAATGTATAGGTATCCTATACATAATCAATATAATCCTATAATAAGATTATATTTTCTTAAATTATTTAAATATTGTATATACTTCATTGAATAAGATTATAAAATCCGAAAATGACCCATTCAGATATTTTAAAGAGTTATTAATAAATTGTGATGCCATTTCTTTATCGTTAGTAACGATAGTCCGTACATCATTTTGTAATACAATCATTGGAGGTCGTTCTATAATTTAAAAAATGAAATATTAGTTGGTTGATTTTAGTCCAATATAAATATTTATAATCAAACTGACCAACAGCAAAATGAGTAAAAATAATTTCTTCAATTGTTCCAGTTCCATTATCGCTAATGTTTTGATCTTCTAGATGGGGAAGTCGTGTATAACGAAACGCAAATCCAGAGCCATGCCATATTAACATCAATATTATACTTGTTTTATTCCACATGTTCCACTCATCCGATTTTAATATTGATTGAATAGCACGCAATCGTCTAAGATCATTAATTAGACTTTATCAAATATATATATGTATACAAAAATTATGTATTTATGTTATTATGTGTACATATTATGACGTATTAAATTTAGAATCGTACTTTTAACATTGTTAATTATTTATTTAAACTTTGAAAATTAAATAATTATTTTATACAAATAAAAATGTATCTATCTCAAATAATATAAAATAATTATAAGTTTGTAATTGTAATAATAATTGTAATATTTTTTTCTATTATCGAATTTCTTGGGAATGTACTAAAAATCTTATACAGCAATTTTTTTAATTAGAAATTGTTGGATAAAATATTAATTTTTTTTAGTTATTTCAATCAATAAATTTTAAATGCATTAATTTACTTATTGAGATAAATTATAATAGTTATTTTTGTATTGCATTTTATAATTTTTTTATTTTTGATGAAAAAGTTCAATAAATATTAGCGTATATAAAACATAATTTTACTTCAAGAAAAAAAATAACTTGATTTACACAATGCTCATACTTTTTGCAACAAATTAACAGTTGGAAATTTACAAACAATCCATATCGTGAAAAATACAATTTTAAACTTTATACGTAATTAAAAAATATCAGAATAATATAAAAATTGAAAAAATATTATAAAAAATATTTATTATTAAGTCTTACGATTTTTCTGAAATGTCTTGAATCATTTCAATCCCACTAGAATTTGTTAAATACATAATAATCCCTTGTACAGTTGATTCTTTTGATTTTGGATGAATAATTCTATTATCACCAAGTATTTGAAGTTGTGTTTCAGCAACTAAAGTGGCTAACCATTTTTTATCTAAATGAAAAATATTGTCAAATATTCTAATAATAACTAGATACAATTTGAAATAAATATAATTACCAAGAATAATATTCTCAAACTTTTGAAATGGTTTTGTATAATCAGGCAATAAAAAAACCAAGCCCATCAAGTTATCTATATAAAATTCTGGAACGAATCGGAATAATTGGTTTTCATACTCTGAACAATATTTTATTGTATATGAAATTATAGTAAGAATCCATTCCAAAATATTTTTGTTAGCATCTACGAATACCATACTCATCAACCAGCCTATATGCCTTGAGGTCAAATGGATTTTGTTTTCATAACCCTATAAAAATAATATGAATTGATTTTCAGTAAAAATATTTCAAAGTTTAACGTAAAAATATAATTTAAACCATAAGGGTTTCTTCTAAATATTCTTGGTTTTCGATGTTTTCATTGGAAAATTTTAATTCATAATCCACTAATGCATAGTTAATTGATAATTCGGTTAATCTGTCCTTGAATGACATATACTAAACAAATGTTATAAGAATAAAACAATTATAGTTTAAGTTTTAAAACAGTTGTTTATAAGTCTTACGTCAACTAGTTGTTTATGACCAGCTATGTAGTATAAACAAATTACATTATTTAGTAACAAAGAGAGAATATGTAATTTATCAGTAGGTAAATTATCAAATGAAAATACTCTATCTGAAATAGTTGCATGACTATAATTGTTTGCATTTCTATCTTCTGCATTTCCAATAATTCTAGTCAAAATAGTAATTAAACCAGCTGTCGAATTAATTTCTATTATTTCATCTTCTGCATCAGCTTAAACAAAATTATATGCTTCGTAAAATTTTATTAAAATACATTTTTTTGATGTTTAGTTTGATATTTTTTAGTTAACAATTGATTAAAAGAAATTCATTGTTAAAAAATTGAGTTGAACTTTTTCAAGCAACGCAAAAACATACTTATAATAAATCATTGTGCTATAAAATTAATATAGTTATTTATATAAATTTTATCTAAACAAAATATATTTAAATTTAAAAAAATTGAGAAAAATGATGTGAAAACATCTAGCTCTGTATATAATTATATAATATGTGTTATGCGTTATTTATTGCTAATAATATTGCTAATTTTATTTTAATATTTTTTCTTTGGGATTTGTCATACTATAGTATACAGCCAATTATTACAATAAAATCTAAATGTATATAAAATTATAAATGCATAAAATAAATAGATTATATTTCAAAAAGTATACTTTCTTTCAATTAACCAAAATTTAATAATTCATAAATAATGGGAACACATATTTTTTTTTCAAATGTTTAATACCTACTTATAAATTATGAATTTTTTTTTTGGTTTTTATATAATTTGAAATATTTGAAGTTATTTTAAACACTTTTTTCTGAAAACTAATAACATATAATTATGAATATTATTAAATTAAGTACATGCAATTTACTGAAAAATAACACAAGATAATATGAAAAAAGTATAAATAGTAACTTAATATTGATAATTACAATTTTTGATATCCAATAGTGTTATAATAGATATTATAAAAAACCAAATCTTGTTTGCATTTTAATATACTTCGTATCAATGCTCATTTTAGAGCAGAACCTTCATAGTAAATTAATTAAATTTCAAAATATTTTAAATAAAATTTATAAATATTTTATTGAACACAAAAAAAATTGAAAATTAAAGTAAATCTAAGACTATACAATACAATTAAACTATTACTAAAAATCTCATCACCGTCAGTGTGTCGTAGCTGTAGATTGATAAAAAAAAACTACTTACAATATTCACTTTCACTTTGATGAAGAGATTGATTGTTGAGAGGATTTCCAAGTTTGGACTTTATAACTTCTTGGTATTTGGGTTTTAAATATGAAAATAAGCCACCAACTCGTTCGATTCCAAAGAAGTTGTAACTTTCCAAATAAAAAATATTTGGATTAATTGTAGTTTGATCATCTTTGGTAAGTTCTTCATTCCAAAGTTCACGAATCAGATGTGACAAACGAAATAATGTGCTTAGTATTACCGGACCAGGTAATCTTAACATAGGATCATTCTAGAAAATATTCAATTAAATTAAATAACATGCATTATTTTAACTGTAATATTGTCATTAAATGTAATAAGACAGGCATATTAAATAAACATGCAATAAATACTGCATACATTTTTAAAATTATTACTACTCAAATTTTAGTAAGTAAATAAAATAGTAGATCAGGGATCCTCAAACTTTTATAAACACTGTACCCCTTTTTATCAATTAACTTTTTTGGGTAACCCTTCTTAGTTAGAAAAACTAAAATAAATATAAAAGAAATTAAAAACTTATAAAATTACATATTTATTTCATTAAAACATAATACACAAAAAATGTTAAAAACAAAAATAGCTTACTTTCAAAATAAATTAGTGAGAAGGGTTAACTTGTTTTTATCGGCACAGTTGATCAATATTGGGTTCTAATTTAGTTTAGTACGATCTTAAATCATCTTCAACATTTAACTTGTTTCTATATTTACTTTTAAACTTGAATAACCTTTTCCACATAAATAATTTAAATTTAAAGGTTTTTTGGCCAGACTCGTACCCAATGCTCGAAGTGGGGGGATACGGAGGGATGGCATCCCTCTACTTTTTTGTATTTACAGTTTTCATCCCTCTACTTTTTTTGTCTAGAATAACGCATTCCTCCTAAGACTTGGATTTTAAAATGATATACTTATAATTTTTATATTTTTGTATAAGACATTTTTTTTCAGTGAAAATAATTGTTTTTAACATTCAGGCTCGAACGCCCGGCTTATCGTGTTGTTTAGTATAAGCCGTTTCGTAACTCGTATTATACCCGTATTTAGAGCCATGGATTAAAATAATATACTTTATGTGAAATATTTTAAATTAAATTATTATCTCTACGGAGCTATGTAGAAATGAAGAGACTAGCAAAGAATAGGGAAGATTGGTTGAAGCGACGAGGCGATATTGCCTTATGATAAAAAAAAAAATAAATATTATAGGTACACAAGGTATGAAGAATGTTATGATGATATCAGGAAATCTAAATTATGAAGCATCCCTCCACTTATCTTGAACCATTTCGACTACTGATCGTACACCTTAAAAAATCTCGAGTACCCCTAAGGGATACGCGTACCACAGTTTGAGAACCACTGTAGTAGATAATTCATAAAATTAAAAACTAAATATGCTATGCAACCCTTAGAAAACTTCTATTTTATTTAAAACGATGTTTTTTATTTACTCGATCAATTAAATACTAAATGCCTATAAGATATAAATTAAGAATATGTACGTATTATAATTAAAATTGTACCTTTAGTTTTTTACAAATTCATCGGTAAGTCAATTTATCCAAATTTGATGGTCATTAACTTATTACTAATTAGTAATGTTAACAACATCAAGTTATTATAGAATAATAAAAATTATTTTATAAAAATTAACAGTTTCCCTTAATGTTCTAACAAAACAGTATTATTAAAAAAATACACACTCTCCAATAAATCATGTTTTCTTGGGTAAAACTTTGAAATTGTCTACAAAACAAAATCCTTGAACTCACATTTGTATCAGTTTGATCATTGTCATTCAATAAAGTTTTTAAAAATAAAAACTGAAGTTTCTTTAATTCTGTTTGAAAAAATTGAATTGAAAATGGGATATACGAATATAATGACATAAAATGTAATTGTATAACATGATAATTTATATCACTTTACCATTTATTAAATGTTTGATTTTATCACATGAGTTCTCGTAGGCCGATTTACATATTTTATAGTCTTCAGGAAAATTTTTCATTAGTTTAATTTCCATATCTTCTACTAAACCTATATTTTCTATACTCCAGTATACAATCGGAATCATATGATTGAACATTTCATCGGATGGAGCTACAATATGTAAAAAGTGTGAAAATCTGAAAAGTCATAATACGAAAATAATATTACATTTTAAAAAGATTTAATATAATATATTTATAATAAATAAGAAACTCACAAATCATTTTCATAACATTATCAAAAACCCAGATAACCCAGCATCCAAACATATAGACAAAACCATTAAATACGCTAAAGAACGTAGTTTAGAATTTAATTCGGTAACAAAAGTTTATACTTATAATTTCCCCCCATAGACTACCAAATTTCACATCAATCTAACGAAATTCAAAAAAGAACACACTCTCCAAATCATTTAAACGAGTTGATACTAACACTCAAAAAGGACAATAAATATTTCACAGACACGTATAAAATAGAATAAAACATGAGTATAACAACTATAAGTGAAAATCTAACTATCAGGTTTAAAACTCCCCAAATGTCGATTGTTCTATTATACGACAGAAACCATAGCTATATTCAATACAGTCGAAAACATTTATAAATAACGATAAATTAACTTTTAAGAAGTGTGGTTGTCGAAAAAAAGAAGTTTAAAAAGTAAAGAAATTTATTAAAATCCTTAGTAAAAGTTTATATTTTAATCATTCTTTGTCTCAAATGATAGAACAAATGTTCATAAACTGTCAATGCATTATTTTATACTCACGACTAAAGACATAGTCATCAAAATATATTTCAAATCAAAAAGTTTAACCTTAATACATATTTCCGTTGACATTATATTTGATCATTTAAATCATAAGTTATAATTATATTTAAGTGAATCTGTATTTTTTTTTTTTTAATTAACTTCATATTATATATAAAATAATTATTATTGCATATTATACGTATATATATTATGCATACTTGTATTAAAAATAAAATAATGAGGGTGACAAATCATTTCACTTGAACAATTATCGAAGGGACCGCATTTTCTATTCCAAGTTTTCATTATTCCTTAAAGCATTTGCCTCAAGGTTAATGGGTAAACTTATCTTAAATACGAGTATTTTCTGCTTTCTCTCAGTTTGTCCTTTCATTTTAACCTATCTCTGATTTCACAGTATTTCTTTCTCACGCAAAATCATTGTTGCCTATTCTCGCCTTCGGTTTGGCCACATTCGCCTCCCGGCTAACTTATTTAATTTATCCCTTAACCATTCTTATAATTGCATTTGACATGCACCTTGACATATGCAATGTTTCCTATCAACTGCTTTACTGTCCTGTTGTTCATTATAATTACCGTCTTCTGCCTACTATATACTATATACTATATACCATTAATAATCCTTTTGCTCTTCCTCAAATCTTTCAACCCTTCAACGTACTTAATTAAAGTCATTATTCATTTTTCCCTTTTTTAAAGAATTTTATTATGATGTTCTTATTATTTTTTTATATATATATATTTAGATATTGTTGAGTTAAATTATTCATAATATTTATTGTATATCTCTTATCTTTAAATAAAAATAAAAATCCCAAATTTCTTATTATTTAAAATCAATTTATATATTAATTATTTATTATTTCAAATATTAAAATCACGTATTCGATTATATTATGTTATTGTATGAAATTAATTTTAAGTAATTTGTGTGTGTGGTTTATTTTAATTTAAAATAAAAATAATAGTATTTTAATTCTTTAGTTATTGTAGATCTTTAAAAATAACTTAATCTATTTTCAATTATAACTAAAAATATAAAACATAATAAAACAATTAGAAAAAATTGTCATATATAATTTTGCCTTTAAAACCTAAAATACATATTATATAGTTTATGAATACCTTATTTTTTACAATTATTTACAATAATTTAGTTACTGTAGAAGGAAACTAACAGATTTCCATTTTACAAATAATATTTTAATTAATATTTAAGTCTAATATGAAATCAGTAAAAAAAAAATGATACAATTAAAAACTATAACACATACTTGATTTTGTTAAATAAAACGTTTGCAATCATTTGTTTTCTAGTTTTAGTTTCTTCACAAATCGCGGTTATCAGTTTAAGTACCATAATTTGATTCGATGTATCAAATTTTTCTCTCCATGTACATTTAAATTCACAAAGCATACAAAACATAAATTGATTTATGATGCATATCATTTCGTAATCCTTAGAAATATTACAAACAATTTAGTACACTTATTTAGTACAAATATATTATATATGTATTTTAATTTTGCTTTTTAACTTAATAAAACCAAAAAATTTAAAATTAGAAACGTCATATTTTTAGTGAATTATATTAATACAGTGAATAGATAGTTTATATAATTATACAAAATATAATAATAATATTACATAATATTATATAATATATTATATACAAATTAGAAACTTATTATTTAAAAAAAATGTTTTTCTAGGGCATTGTATTATTTTAATACTCTTGCTCTTTAAAAAGATAAAATCACGGTAAAATAATATATATTATTAATAAATTAACTTAAACTCACTGGTATATTTTCCCACATCAATTCTAAAAAAACTTTAAGTTTTATGGTATTTTTTTTACTCATGTTGTTTAAAAATGATACAAAACAATAATCAATGATATATGGAATCTTCAAAATTCGCATAAATTGAAAAAACAACACATTTCCTATAGTTTTATTAATAGTTACTTTATCAGAATGTTTTTGACTTTGCTTTATCTAGAGTATAGATAAATACAAATTCATATAAAATATATGGATTCAATAAAATTTATATGAGACTTACGTTAGCCAATATACTAATTTGGTTATCAATTAAAAGGCTTATATTTTTTTCAAGTAGCCTATAATAATTTATTAATGTTGCTGGATTAGAAATTATTGGTTTTGCTCCTTGTATAGGAAACTTAAATGGTCTTTCGCCCAAATTCACAGCTACATGTTCATTGTTAGAAAGAGTTAATGCAGGGAAGTATATCAAGCCATCGTTATTAAATCCTTCAAATGCTCTACCCAATGTTCGACCATTGCTAAAAAAAAAAAATGTTAAAATTGTCAATTATATGATGTCTAATAATAAAAAAATCTAAAAAAAATATCTAAAAAATCAATGACTGTTATGAATAATAACCATAGTTCATAATATGATATCATAACTTATAATATTTTGCTTGTAATAAAAATTAAAAAATGTAAAGGTATGTTATACAGTTTTCGCGGAAACCTCATTAATTATAATTCTTCCAATGGGTCTATTCATTTTTTTTTTGTTTGTTTGTAAGAGGACATTTAAAATTAACTATGATCTATTTTATTTTATAATCATAATCAAGCCGGTATCAATTTGATACGGTTCTTAAAATTGTATATAAAAAATCTTTTAAAGTTTATTTAATGAAGCTTGGAAATAAGAATTAAGTTTTTTTTATTAAGTTTTGTGTATTACACAGTATAATATCGTGAGCATTTTATAAAAAGGTAATAAATGACTATTTACAGAAGAGCAAACAAAAATGTTTATTTTATATATTTTAACGTCGGCATAGAAGCATGGGCGGATCTAGGGGGGGGGGTTCAGGGGGTCAGCTGACCTACAGTTAATATTTGTTGACGAAATTGGCCTCTTGGAAATTTTTTCTATTTTTAGATCTTGATTTGGACTTTTAGACAGTTGGCCCACCGGAGTTACTTGAAAAATGAATGCCATGTATATTCAAAATTTAAAATTTTTCAATTCATAATTTATATTTTAAATTATATCGTTTTAGTAGAAAGTAAAGTAAATCATATTTTATTCCGTACGTTTGTTGCGCTGATAAAATTAGATTATATATATTAATCGTAAATAAGTCATTATCCGTAGTATCCCTAATTCTAAAATGTAATATAAATATACTTATACGCTTTTATGAACATATTGTGTTTTTTTTTTTTTTTACAAGGTATTAAATTCTAATTCAGTTTCATCCCTAATAAATGGCCTCTTTAAATGGCTTGATCCACAGTTCCCCGACTCTGGATCCGCCTCTGCATAGAAGTATAATACTTGATTTAATTAGTATATATTTTTATTCCATCAATGAAAAACTATGAAAACTATATCATTTTTAAGATTAGTCTATATGAAAACATTGGAACTTAATATGAACTTATGCAAACTCTGTATATTTTAATTTAATGCTTACGTTAGTATAGTAGAGAATAGTTATAAAATTGTATTTCTTACCTAAATGAAATGGTCAAACTGTACTCAAGTAAAAAAAGGCGATATGTATACCTTCATAATACATCTAATTATATTGTATTTTTAATCAGAATATATAAGGAAATATTTTAGTATTTTTCAACAAAGAGATGGTTATAATACTTAAATATATGTATATAAAAGTGGTATTACTATTATTTTTTTCCTTCTACTATGATTTCATAAACAACAATCACTTATTAAAAAATTTTTTCGAACATATTCTTGAACCAAGTGCAGTTCGATTATTGCCTTTTTTTATCCCAAGTAAAATTCGCCTAAAATAGTGCGATTCTTCACCTTATTAATATAGTATGTAATATTCAGTTTTACTATTAATACTACGAATTATAACTTAGAAACATAAAATATCATTAAATGTATTTTGCTTATAACTTGTAAGTGAAGTTAAATGCAAT